GCATTAAATTTGATTTCTTGGGTAGAAGAATCTGGAAGAGACCTCACCTTACACGAATGCTGGAGGCGGATTTTTTCGAGGTGCAGTGAGCTGCTGTTACAACCCACTGCGGATGAACCAAAGTTCCTCCACAAAAGGTGAAACCAGAAGGGGTCCTGACCTGAGCTTGCCATGGCCAAGCTCCCTTTGGGGCTTCATTTCCACCGACAATTCGTGCGCCTGGTTTAAATCCACATTTTCGTGATTCTCCTCCTCCACCACCACCGCCGCCTCCTCCTTCTTCTCCATCGCAAAAGTTACAGCTCTTCTTACAGAATCTTTTCATTTTCTTAACTTTATTTTTGCAGAAACCTTTATCTGCCCAGATAGGGCATTTTCTCCTTGTGTCCACACAATCTGGAATACAAGAATATTAAAACCCACGGCTGCGAAATTAAACAAAAGTTTTGAAGTTATAGAAATACATAAACTAAAGAATTTTAAATCAAGCAGGATAAAGAAGATAAAGAGAGAAGTCTGAAGAAAATGTAATCAACTAGAATTTGCTAATTGAAGTTGCTAATTGTTGGCTCGTTACAATCCCAAACAAAGAAATCAACAAAGAAATCATTCTACCGATTTCAGAGATTAGCCTCTAAAACGATTGAGGCTTGGTGCCCGTACCTTTACAGAGTATTAACTGTACACAGACAAAAATCAAGTGGAAATCTCGTTGCTAATTTGTTACGATCATGCACTTTAAAAGACATGTCGGGACTTTTAAGTTTAAGATGAGAAGTGATCATCTTTTTGTTCTTATTGTCTTTGATTTTGTTTTATGGGTCAATTGTTCACACTGTTTTCCAGCTGCACTCTTAATATCCAGGTGTGCATTTAGTTGAAATAAAAAACTCATCAGCAAATGCAGAGGTCCCTTAGCATAAAATCATTCCGACAATTCTCTTTTTCCCTTTTATTCGTTTCTTTTCCTATCATAAAAAAGCAAAAACAGAAACAAAAAACAATCGAAAACGGGTCTCGGAATTGCAGTCGTAGTTAATCCTTGAAACTAGTCACTAATGTAAAGCAAAAACAAAGGATTGACAGCTTTCTGCTTTGGAGAACTTTGTCTAAAAGTTTTTCATCTGTTCGTCAATCCATTGCCATAAATAACGGACCCTGATTTTCCCCGACCTCCTATTAACCAATCATGTAACTCGTCTTCTGACCGTTTTGTTACAATTATATTTGTGCACACGCGTATCTTGTTAAATGAGCACGTTTCATGAAATATAGAAAGCGTTCCAAACTACTGATCAACCATGTGCCCATGAACCATTAATAATTACACGAAAAAAAAAAAGACATCATAAGGAAATGTTTGGGGTCGGCCAATTCTGCTGATAACATGTGAAAACAGAATTAGCACTTTTCAGTCGGGTCGAGTTTTTTGTTGTAATCAAATCATCATCGTCATTACTGCTGCATTTAAAGAAAAATCGTTGTCAGATTGTTATGGAGAGCAAAATGACAGCTTGTTTGAAAAGTAGCTACGATTTCTAAACGGTTGTGAAGGAGATTGTTGGCTTTATCAGCTTTCTGCAGGCTGGATACAGAACGCCTTTCATGGTAAAACTGCAGTTAAAAACCTGAGGTGAGATTAAATAAATAATCGAAGCTCCTAGCTAAATCCTTTGCAGAAAGTTTGTGCGATGAACACAAGTAAGAACTGAAATATATTGTGCCTTGGCTTTAATGGTAAGCTTTACTTTCGATACTACCGACTCAATGTTTTGCAGGTTTTTTTTTCTTAATTGGGACAGTTTCTCTGTGTGACGGGATTCTGGAATGGTAACACAAATAAATAACTAATCCCTGGTTAATTAAGTAAAGATGTTTGGAATGAAAGAATTTACTGCGTCCAAAAGACTGAAAAGACGCGTGAAGGAGATAAAACGAAAAGATATGCAGCCGGTAGTTTCGGCTGAGCAATCCTTCGACGCACTCAACGCATACGTCCATAACTAAAGAAAGAACGCTTTTGTTTGACGTCTAATTCGCGCAAAGATGACTAAACCAAAACGGGACAGTAGGTAGCCGAAGTTAAACTAAGCAAATTGCCTGGAGCGCAGGAAAACGTGTTTAAGTCGCGATCGGTCTAAGTTCAGCTTCTTATTAGTAAACAGGATAGCTTGACTATTCTAAGAACTGAACGTGGAAAAGTAAAATTGCTGCACTGCTCCATACTTCACAAAGCTTTCGAAGCTTACCTCCATTGCTTCCTCCCCCTCCTTCTCCGCCGCCGCCTCCGTTACTACCTGTGGTGTAGGGAAATTAGACGGATTTATACAGAGTCCACTCTAGACTTTCATTATATCATCATGAATCCTCTTCGTAAACGGTGTCGCAGAAACCCTGGGCTTGGTTAATTACATAACGTAAATTGTCAACTTTTAGGCCCACCCTGCCAGTAATTAAGAATGTATCATGATATCACAATAATTATGATAACAACGATGAGGATTAGGATGAGAGAAGAATTGTGAATCCTAGGGTTTAAG